TTCCTAATCCCTTGTTTTTTGTCTCCTTCATCCTGTGACTGTTCCCCAGATGTGGTTGGTGTGCTGCTCCTGCCTTGCTTTTGCTCATGCATTTCCTTTCCTTCTTTTGGAATACTTTACCTTGCACTCTTCAATATACTTTAAGGTTCACCTCAAATACCATCTTTTCTGTGAAGTAGTATTTTCGGCTGCTGATGACCTGTGTATTCTCTGCTCCAAAATCCTTCAACTGGGGGTTTGCTATAGACTATTTTTAAAAAAAATTATAAAGCTCTTTGTGATTTGTTCTATGTTTGCTTTTCCAGCTGTAAATCTAGCAACCCCTAGCCCCCCGGCCAATAACCCTATAATTCACCACATAGTCCACACAGAATGCCTTGTTTCTCAGAGCAAGGTTATGTGCTTTTGTGCGCATGTCATTTCCTGTGTGGCATATCTTCATTTAATGTTTTTTTAGAGATGCACGTGGAGAGGGTTGATGTAGTGGCCTTTGAAACTAATCCTATAGAGATGTCTTTCATCGTATACTGATAGAAGCCTTCCATCTACTGAGTTCTACAAGCAGTTTGGCATAGTGGAAACAGACAGTATTTGAACTTTGATTTAGACTCTGGTTTTGATATTTACTAGCCATGTGAAGTTGGCAAAAGTACTCAGTTTTTCTGAACCTCTATTTCCTGATCAGTAAGATAGAGCAACTATTTAACTTTATAGGACTAATATGAGGTTTAAGTGAGAAACTGCATAATATGTCAAAGATATACTAAATCGTCAATAAATGGTGTTAAAAAAAAAAAAAGGAAGACGAGATGCTGCAGCAGCTGCTGCTGCTTTCCCTTCACGGGATCGATTGTGTAGGATGGGGGCGTGGGAAACGGTGCCAAGGGGGCCAAGACAGGGTGCTGAAGGCAGAGCGTAGAGGGTACCTTTCTACTTCTGGGGGACTGGTGTCCCGATCACAAATTCTGGTTCAAGATCAGGAGAAGCTTCTTCCTGCAGCCAGCTACTGACTTCTTCCTTGAATTTCTCTAAAAAGAAATGCTTTGTTCATATTGTCTTGCTTCTTCCAGTACATCTTCCATATTCTCCTAGAATATGGCTTTTAAAATGCATGTTGTTAGTTGCTGCCTTCTACTCTTTCAATACAGATAAATCCTAATGAGTTTATAAGGCTTTTCGTGATCTGGTCTTCATCTACCTCCCTAGCCTCATTTATTTTTTTTAAACTTTTTATATATTTGTTTTGTAATTATATTTTATTTATTATGTTATTACATTTGTCTCAATTTTTTTCCCCTTTGCCCACTTTCGCCTGGAACCCTCCTTCCCTCTAGCAGTTGCCTCCTTAGTTCATGTCCGTGGGTTGTGCATATAAAAGTCCATTGGTTTTTCTATTTCCTATATTATTCTTAACATTCCCATGTCTATTTTGTACCTACCAATTAGGCTTCTTATTCCCTGTACCTTTTCCCCATTCTCCTTCCCCCTCCCAGCTGATAACCCTCCAAATAATCTCCAGATCTATGATTCTGTTCCTGTTCTGGTTGTCTGCTTAGTTTGTTTTTTTAGATTCAGTTGTTGATAGTTGTGAATTTGTTGCCATTTTAATGTTCATAGTTTTGATCTTGTTCTTTTTCTTAAATAAGTCCCTTTAACATTTCCTGTCATAATGGCTTGGTGATGATGGACTCCTTTAGGTTTACCTTGTCTGGGAAGCACTTTAACTTCCTTTCCCTTCTAAATGATAGCTTTGCTGGATAGAGTAATCTAGGTTTCAGGTCCTTGCTTTTCAGCACTTTGAATGCTTCTTGCCAACCCCTTCTTGCCTGTAAGGTTTCCTTTGAGAAATCAGCTGATAGTCTTGTGGGAACTACTCTGTAGGTAACTCTGCTTTACTCTTGCTTTTAAGATTCCCTCTCTATTTTTAACCTTTGGCATTTTAATTATGATGTGCCTTGGTGTGGTCCTCTTTGGGTCTAGCTTGTTTGGGACTCTCTGTGCCTCCTGGGCTTGTGTGTCTATTTCCTTTGCCAAATTAGGGAAGTTTTCTCTCATTTTTTCAAATAAGTTTTCAATTTCTTGCTCTTCTTCTTCTGGCATCCCTATGATTCAGGTGTTGTTGGTACATTTAAAGTTGTCCCAGAGTTTCCTAAGGCTATCCTTGTTTTTTTGAATTCTTTTTTCCCCCCTACTGTTTTGATTGACTGCTTTTTCCTTCCTTATGTTCCAAATCGTTGATTTGATTCTCAGCTTCATCCTCTCCACTATTGGTTCCCTGTAGATTTTTCTTTATTTCACTTAGCGTAACTTTCATTTCTTCCCTTATGTTTTTGCCCTACTCATGAGTCCTTTGAGCACCCCGGTCACCAGTGTTTTGAACTCTGCATCTGATAGGTTGGTTATCTCTGTTTTGTTTAGTTGTTTTTCTGGGGTTTTGTTCTGTTCTTTCATTTGGGCCATAGTTCTATGTCTCCTCAACTTGGCAGCCTCCCTGTGTTTGTTTCTGTGTATTGGGTAGAGCTGCTTTGACTCCCCGTCTTAGTAGTGTGGCCTATTGTAGAAAAAGCACCTGTTAATTGTGTGGGGTAGAGCCTTAGGTAATTGCCAGGGTGGGACAACCCTCTCCACTGCTTTGTGGCTCTGTGTGGTGGGAGGGCTCAGAGGAGGACACTGCTGCTCCTTGGCTCTAGATGTTTGCCTGGGACTTGTCCTGTCTCTAGTCACTTCATCCACTTCCCATTTGTGACTGGCACACTTCCAGCTGTTGCCTGGTGGTGAATCCCAGAGTGGGTGGATTCTCTAAGCCTGTGCGGGCCCTTTAAACAGACTCTCCTGAAAATCTGGCAGTTTCTTCCTCCGCACCAACCATCACTGGTTTTTACAACCAAAAGTTATGGGGACTTACCATTCCAGTACTGGAACCCTGGGCTGTGCAGTCTGGCCTGGGGCTGGGATTGCTCACTCCCAAGTTATTCCTCTGGATTTTTATCCACCACACATGAGGGTGGGACCACCCACTCCTCCGCTGCCCGCACTGTGGCTGCTCAATGCCACTGCCCCTCTCCACCCGTCTCTGCAACTCTGCCCCTCCTACCTGTCTGAATGAATGTGGCTTCTTTAAATCCTCGGTTGCCGGACTTCCATACAACCCGATTTTCTGACAGTTCTGATTGTTACTTGTTCTGAAATATAGTTGTAATCCTCTCTGTGGCTGCCCGAGGAGGCGAAGCAGGTCTGCCTATGCGTCCATCTTGACCGGAAGTCCCTAGCCTCATTTTTCACTGTGCCCCGTGCAGTGGACATTTTTCATTTTTTTGTTTGTCTGGTGTCTGAACTCTCATGTTTGTGAAAGTCCACAGGGTATTGATGGGGAACAGGACCTGTTTTACATCTCAGATTTTGAAAAGTTCAGATACTCATTGTCCTTGTTCCCTGGCAGCTAGGGTGAAGGAATGTGACCCAGGCTCAGCCATGGGACATTGAATCTGCAGCTGGGTCAGTGGCAACAGTGATGGCCTCATGGTGGAGACATCATCACATTGGCAGTGGTGTCTCCACCATGCTGTGACCAGGAATGTTATTTACCACAGTTCTGACTGCCTCACCTAGTTTGGTAACAGCTTAGCTTTGGGACCTAGATTTTCCAGTGCTTGTGCTGGATCTTTGTGGCTACTCATCGCTTTTTCAATTAATTCCCTTTCTATTTAAAGGAACCCAAACTAGTGTCTGTTATTTGATTTTACAAAGAGCCTCAATTCATACCACCCTCTAGCACCAGGGGCTTAATTCACATGAGACTTCCTGCAGTTCTTCCAAACTGACCATGTTTGTCTCCACCTCTGGGCTTTCTTATATTCTGTTCTACCTGGGACACTCTTTACTCCCTTCGTGGATTATTTAACTCCTGATGGTCCTCCAGGACTCAACTCTGCTGTCATGTCACTCTTTCTGCAAATCTTCCCCCAATTCTTAAGCCTGGGTTAGCTCCTCAGTGTTTTCGTAAAATGCTCTTCTTCGAACTACTTTAATACTTATGACACTATACGGTAATTGTCTTGACATTCCTTGGAGACATGGGCTAGTATTATATTAAGTATCTTTGCATTGTTCCTGGCAGATAATTACCATCTAAATTTTATCTGTTGAATTAGTGAAAAACTATTGAGTTATATACTTCGTTATATTAAAATTTACCTATTTGCACCTCTGCTTTCTTAATTAACTGAATGGTGTAAAAGGAGAAAACCAAGTTCTTCCTCTTTATGTCCTTAATTTGTAGCAAAGTACTTGCTTGGCTCATTGTAGGTGCTGTGGGAATGTTGAATGCATGATTGAACGACTGCATGCCAGGGTTGTCTTTTAGAATTTTAAACAGTTTTTCCCAAAAGAAAATACCTTCCTTGACTATATAGGTAATGATGAGGTAATTGACATTCTCAACTCCTCTGTACCAGTATTGGTGGTCTATTTAGAAGGTAATGTGTACACATTAAAAAAAATAACTATTTGATAAGTGAGTTTTTTATGTGCTAGGTGAATGATTGGACAGATGGTGCTTCAGAGTCAAGCTATAAATATAGCATTCTCTCTCTCTTTTTTTTTAAATCCTCACCCAAGGATATGTTTATTGATTTTAGGGGTGGGGGGAGAGGGGGAGAGAGAGTGTGCAAAACATTGATCAGTTGCTTCCCGTATGTGTCCCAAACAGGGATGAACCTGCAACCTAGGTGTGTCCCCTGATCAGGGATCAAACCTGCATCCTTTTGGTGTATAGGCCAGTGCTCCAACCAGCTGAGCCACTGGTTGGGGCTAAAGATAGCATTCTTAATTGAGCCTTTGAAAGTGTGATATATAAGCATATACATAGAAAATGGTTATTGACTAATTGGATTGGTTAAAATGGAAGCCTATAGTAGGCTTTGTGTTTCTCTTTTACTTGGGTGTAATTATAGTACTTATTTTGGATTGGCTCATTTTAATTTTTCCTCATTCTTTTTTAGGTCCAAGACAACTTTGACAAGATTGAATTCAATAGAATGTGTTGGACCCTCTGTGTCAAAAAAAACCTCACAAAGAGTCCCCTGCTCATTACAGAAGAGGATTCATTTAAAGTATGGGTTATTTTCAACTTTTTATCTGAGGACAAGTATCCCTTAATTATTGTGCCAGAAGAGGTAAGGTATGGCTCTGGGCCATCTTTGCATTTAATAGATCTAGCATGGAAGTATTTGTGTTAAGTCAGTGTAGATATGGGAGGAGATCTCTTTTTGGATCAGAGGCAAAAATGGCCTGAATCCAAAAAAGTCCAAAACCTGGTGATTTGGGGTCATGTAATATCCCTGGAGATTTGCAGACAGGGTGGGACTCTTCCTCTACAAATTGCTATAATTATACATGACTCCGTCGTAATGTCCAAAGAGTATCTCTTCAGTACAACTCACAACGTAATTTTCTGTCTGCTTGCATATTGGAAAAACCGTAAGAACTGGCTGAATGATGCTGTGGGAAACACATAGGATCCAGAATGTTTTCAAGGCAGTTATATGTAAGGAAATACTGTTTTTGTTTCTAAGTCCAGCATGGTGACTTTAACTGTACTTTGCAAAGTAAATAAAAAAGGACATTTGCTTGTATTGTTTGGGTTATTTTTCCTAAGCTTCTAAAGGGAAACGAAGAGAGAAATAAAGTTTTGTGCTGTCTTACTGCCCTAAAAAATTATACCTGTAATACATGTTTATCACAGTAGTAAATTTAGAAAAACCTCATAATATGAAAAATTAAAATGAGCTGTAGTCCTCTTGTTAAACATGAGTCATCTGTAATCCCTTAACCTTGCTCAAATTATTTAACCTCTTAGATTTTAATTTCCTTATTTATAAAATCAGGGCTTACAATAATGTTAACTCTTAAGAGGTATGAGATTCTGCATTTAAAGAACTTAGCTCAGTGCCCAGCATGTGAGATACGAGGCCTGTCCGGAAAAAAATCCATCCATTGTTAATATAAGGAGAACGGTTTGTGTGACATCAGTGTAACCTGGCAGCCAAGGAGAGCGGACTGGAATGCACATGTGTGAACAATGACGACTTCACTGCATCTGTCAGTGGGGGTGGTAGATGCCCTTGAGTGAGAATGTGTACTCTGTGGCCATCACAACCCAAATGACTGAGCAAGTACAGTAACGAATCTACATCAAATTTTGCTTTAAGCTTGAACATTCCTCTGCAGAGACTATTCGGATGATTCAGAAGGCCACAGCTGTGGGCAGCTGGTGATTGGCAGCTTCATCACAACAACGAGCCTGCTCATGCATCATGTCTGGTGCAGAGTTTTTTGGTGAAACATCAAATCACACATGTGACTCAGCCCTGCTACAGCCCAGATTTGGCGCCCTGTGACTTCTGGCTTTTCCCAAAACTAAAATCATTTTTGAAAAGGAGCAATTTCAGACCGTAGATGAGATTCAGGACAATACGATGGGGCAGCTGATGACAATTGGGAGAAGTGTGTGAGGTCCCAAAGAGGCCTCATTGTCATATGTATAATGTTTCTTGTATCTTCTTTGATACGTGTCTCTATTTTTTATAGTACATAGCTGGATACCTTCTGGACAGACCGTGTATACTCAGTAAATGTGTTAACTCCTATGATTGCTATTATTGAGTACATTTTTGCATACAAATCTATATATTTCTTGAATATAGATTTCCAGCAGTGGAATTCTGTGTCCTAAGAAACACATCTGATTTCTGTGATCTTTTTTCATGTTAGGAAAATCTTTTTAAAGCTTCACACTATAATATTTATTTAAAACCAGCAAGCATTTATCGACTACCAACAGTAAGCAAGGCACCAATTGCAGAGTGAATGCAGAGGAGTGCAAAGTGAAAGAGATTAGTTCCTCCCTCAAGGAATTGACAGTCTGCTGAAGGAAAAAGCAATAAGTCAAGTGTAATTCAAAGCAAAATGTATGGTGTGTTATAAGAAAAATGCAAATGCCATGCAGATACTGAGAAGGGAAAGATTATTCCAGTTTGGGGGGAGTGAGGGAACCAGGAGGCTTTCCAAGAGAGGCAGTGTGTTATAGATGTTAAAAGCAGCTTCTTAAAGGGCCAGGCAGTATGTATTTGAGGTTTTGTGGACTTTTTGGGCTATACTGTCTCTGTCTCAGGTACATGAAAGCAGCCCTAGACACTATATTGCTGTGCTTCAATAAAATGGATGTTGAAATTTGAATATTCTATAATTTTCATGGGTCATGAAATAATAGTTTTTTCATTTTTTAAAAATGTCCAGCCACTTAGAAATGTAAAAACTATTCTTAGATCATGGGTGTATAAAAACATGTTGTCAGCCAAATCTGGTCACTGGGCTAGATTTGACTCATGGGCCATAATTTTCCAGTCCCTGATTAAGAGCAGGGTTATGGAGCCAGATTTCCTGGATTTGAATTCTGGCTCTATCACCACTTACTGGATGCATGGCCTGGGGCAATTTTCCAAGCTTGTTTTCATTGCATTTTGCTCACCTGTAAAATAGGGCTAATGCTAGTATTTACTTCCTGTTGTACTTGTGAAGATCAAATGAGAAGAATGCCTTGCTCTTAGTGCTTATTAAGTGGTAGCTATTTGTGGGGAAGTGGTAACTATTATGTTTGTGGGGAAAGCAGTACTTGTGCTGGGTCTTAAAAGATGGGAAGAGTTTTAACTAATATAGAGTTCTGGATGGAAGAAAGAGCGGGCAAGGTTATAAGGGGCAGGAAAGCAAAGGGCCTGTTCTGAGATGAGTGAAGGATGCTTACTTGGACACACTGGGACTGGCTTATTTAAGGCAAAAAGGAATTTTTAAAAAGGATGTTGGATAGTTCACAGAATCACCATTATGGCCTAAACACCAGGTGTGGAGGCTGTGCAGCCTGGAGCAATACTGGTCGCTCCAGTGAAGAACCACAAGGAGAATGCTACTGTCACCAGAGGGTGGGTGTTGCACTTGTCCCAGGGAACACCTCTGGCCCTGCACACTGGGCGCTGCCCAGGAACGCAGATCTTTCTGCCGCTGCTCCTTCTACCAACGACAGTTCTCTACGGTATCCACTTTCCAATTCACAATTGGGCCGATGCATCTAATTGGTGTGGCTTAGGTCAGGTGCCATAAGCTAGCTGCTGAGGAGGCTTGGAAAAGATACATTTGCATTTTTATATGCTAGGCTGGGAGGTAGGGAATTCCCCAGGCAAAAGAGGAGGTTAGATGCTGGGCAATCAAAAAGAGTGACACCTATCCTTTCTAAGTGAAATGGTGACTGTGAAGAAGGCTGTTGGTAGATGAAGCTGGAGAGAATTTTGACTTTATCCTATAGGCAGTGAGGAGCTGTGAGCCACTGGTGATTTTGAGCAAGAAAGTGACAGGTGAGTAGGTGAAATATGGAGAGATGGGAGATGGGAAGTTAAGAGAAGGTAAGTGGCATTGAGGACTTAAGATACAGTCGTGTCAGCAAGAATAGAAAAGAGGGCCAGATAGAAGGGACGTGGAGATCAAGCTCCTAGTACCTTGCTGTTTGGAAATATAGACAAGTTTCAGGCCTTGGCAATTGGGAGGCAACACGGTGTAGTTGTTTAGAGCATGGTCTTTGAACTCAGACTGCCTGGTTTAAATCCTAACTGTACCACTTTTTATGTGACCTTAAACAAATTCCTTAATTTCTCTGTTTGGGTTTCCCCATCTTTAAAATGGGGATAACTACTTTCTTCATTGGACTCTTGTGAGGATTAAAATCGCTGATGTATATGAAGCATTGAAATAATGTCCAGTCCCAGTGAAAGTGCTCACTGGAGGGTGTGTGTGCGTGTGCGTGTGCGTGTGCATGGCAAGATGACGACCGCATTGGGGGTCCGGTGTATGATGATGTGTTTGGTACATTTGGCATTTTAGGTGGAACATTCTTGTGGAGCTGTCCTGTATTCACCTGAAGTGCACATCTAGGGCTCGCAGGAGGCCAGGGCTGGACACAGAGATAGGGAAGCCATGGGAAATAGGTTAGAGCAGGTAGGAGGAAGCTGTCGTGGGAGAAGAGAGACTGGGGACAAAATCTTGGGACCATTTCTATAGCAGGGAGAGGAAGTAGATTAGGTAAAAGGAGCTGAGTTGAATGGTTGGTGAGGTAGGAGAACTGAGTGTTGAGTCATGGGTGCCAAAGAAAGAAAAAGTTCTAAGCACCAGAAAAGTTCTGGCATTCGCTGCTACAGAAAAATTAGAGAGCGGTGAGTGAGGAGTTGCCCTTGGATTTAGCGGTCAGGTGGTCGTTGGTGATCCCGGACAAGGCAGATTCACTGTACTGGTAGGAACAGTTTCTTAGTGCATAATATCCATAATGATGTAGTCATGCATGTATGTTAAAGGGAAAATAAAAAATAAAATACGCTGTGGTATTTTTGTCCACAAAAACTTATCTAGCTTAATACAGAGAAATATAGTAGAGGATAGAATATTTATAGGCATAGAAAAAAGATATACAAATGGTATTTTATGCTGCTTGGAAGAATTTTGCTAGTTAAATCTCCAGTATTGTCTTTTATGACATTGTGTAGCTACATTCAGTGTTCAAGTTGATTTGTGTTTCCCTTGGAACTGGAGGAAAAAGATGAATCTCTTACTTGTGATGTTTTGGTTCATTCTGTTACTGAAGTATTCATGGTGGACTTGAAAGTGAACTTGTCCTGATTTCAGAATTAGAAATTAGTGAGTAAGGAGACTTGGCCTAATTCCGGAGGCAGTACTTGATCGATGTGAAGGACTTGATATTGGCTTTAAATCATCACGGAGCCACGGGCTGTGAAGGGAGACAGTCAGTGTCAGCTTCCTGACCACTCTGCTTAAGAGACTCAAAAGGTTTCTTCTCCAGCTGGCTCGGAGAACTGGGACCCATATGAGCTCTGATGTATACCGTGACTCCATCCTTTCTGCACCCAGAGCCCAGCCAAAACTGCACAGAATGTTTCCCTTCATTTTTGTAGGCCAACAGGAATGTCTTGGTGCACTTTCCAAACAAAGTAATCTCATTGCAGAAGGGAACAGCCTCCCTTTGGCTTGATAGAATAGCCAGACAGCATACCTTGTCATGTTTTTGTTTGGATGTACTAGGTGTTTTGACATCCTTAACTCGTCAACATTTCTTATAGTTAAAAGTACAGTGGAGTTAGTTTTACAGATTACTTCTCTGTGGCCAGGAGTACTTTTATGGGGAAAGAAAGGATCATTGGAACAGATTTATGTGGAATGGCTTGTCTGGCTGCTGAACCAGCCTCCTGAGGTTTAAAACGTGGCCTTGTGTGTGCTGAGCTCTCAGCACATCTCCTGTTCTTGGACCAAGCACTGCACGCTCGTGGTCACATTTTATGGAAAGCACTGGAGTTATAGTATTTCTTAAGATGGCCATTCTCTCTTAGATTTTGCTTCCTTTCTAGATACTTTAATAACATTTAAAAACCTATATTTTGAACTAGTTTTAGACTTACAGATTTTAATAAAATTTAATGTGAACACAGATGTATTTAAAATATAAAATTTGAAATATAATCTCTTTGTCATGAATATATATATATGTTTAATTGTAATTGTATCAACAGTTTTTAGACTTTGTACATTTAAAGTAATTTTTTTAATGTTTCCAATAATCTACCTACCATAGGTCCAGAATGTTTTTAAGTAAGATTTTATTCTTCAGCTTTGAAAGGTACTATATAAGTAACAGTGGTAGTTAGATGAATAACATAAGTGGTATAAATAAGTTTGCTTTTGACTTAGTTCTCTATGATCCAGAAAGTAGTGTCAAGAATATCGAATAAATATAAATAAAATATATTATGAATAAAAATAAAATAAATATGAAGAAAATATAATACTGAATAAAAATTAAGTGACTTTACAATGCAAAAATCAAGAAGTGGTATGTCCCCATTTGAGATGGTTCTGTAATTTTTGTGAAAGAGTATTCCTGGAAATATGTGCCTGTAAAGTATAGTTTTTATACATTAATATTCATTTCCCACAGAACCAAGAACAAAACAGGATGTGTCTGTTGTGGGCTTATTTGGAAGAGTTGTCTTGAAATAGATATCAAACCTGAAATAGTTTTAAGAGACCCTCTGTGAAATAAAACCTGAATTGTTGTTAAGACATGAACGGCTCTTTAAATGGTGACAGGGAAAGAATTTTTAACAAAAATTTTGGAGTCAAAGGCATCAAAAATCACATGCAGCTGAAAAGTATTCCTTGTTATTTTTGGTGAAACTTGCTTGGAAAGAGGAAGTAAGCTGCTTCCTGAAACTGAATGAGCTCCTAGAATTGAGGCGAGCCACTTGAGACTAACACGGCAGCATGTGATTTACTATTTAGTATAGTTGAATAGTTGAGAATGTTGATGCTTGTCTCTCCTTGGCCCGATAAAATGATTAAAAGGTCCTTAAGTTTCTTGGTTATGATAAGTAAATGATGGCGTTGAAAGTCAGCAGGAAGTGAATCTGGATTAGTTGTCTGCCACAGTTACTGGCAATGCCGAGCAGATGCTGGGTGCTGATGACCAGCTCAGAAGGGCTTGGGAGGGCAGCTTCTGGTGGTTCAGGTGAACCTGGGAAACTGCCTTTAGAGTGGAGTTTGCTAGTAACAAGAACTCTCTGGGATACAAGCATTATAAAAGGCCATTTGTTATGTAATAAGAACTAAAGGATGCAGTGTGAGGGGCTTGGGTTCATTCACGAGGGGAGGGTGAGGACGAGCTGAGGCTGTCTTCTGGCTGGTACACATGCAATGATCAGTTGGAAACACCATCTTGCCATACCCACTTCTCATCATGCATGTGGTGGTGCTCATATGTTTACGTTGTACTTACTACTAAGACTTCTAGCTGTGCCTTTACTACATTCATTCCATGCTGTAATTAGGCAGCATGGGCCCTTTTTGCGCTGCCTTGGGGAGATTCAATTTCTGTACATGTTAATGCCTCTAAGTTATTTTACCTTGGACAATTATTTATTTTAATGTTCTTTTCTCCCTTGTCTTTCTTCAATCTCTCCTTGCCTTTATATTTTTTTCCTCTCTTCTCTTTTCTGTTTCATTTTCTTCTTCCTTCGTCCCTTTGTCTTCCTCTTAACCATTTCCGTTTATTGTCTTCCACAGACTATCCCTGTTATTTTATTTAAGAACCAAGAAAATAATAATATCTGATAAGCTTAACAGTAGATGATATATCTCCAGCAAGAGAATAAAAGACCTAAATGTATTCTTCTTCAACAAGTGAACATTTGCTGACCATCTACTATGTGCTAGATTTAGGGGATTAGATAATGTTTATACTAGAGGATTTTTACAATCTTATCAAATTAAATCGGTAGAACTTGTGATATTTTTTGACTTATGATATTTTATGAAAGTACATTTCTTTGCAAACATGTTTTTCCTATTTTTGTAATCTTTTCTGTTAAAATTTACTTCATAAACAACATTATATCCAAGTTAATGGAAGTGTAAAGAAGAGAAGGAAAAAAAAATTCACAATCCTGTCTGTAACAGACTTATTGTTTCTATGTTTTAGTCTTAATATTTTCCTGAATATTTACATAATCTTTATGGAGTGGAAATCATAGGTAAATGTAATTTTGCATTCTTCACTTTATGTTATTTCACTTATTAAATATAATTTTAAATGGTGGAATAATATTCCACTCAGTGCAGAAAGGAAGTAACATCGATGGAGTAACTGGTGTGCCAGTCATTGTGCAAAATGTCCTACATTTGTGTCATTTTTTCCCCGTAGTAGTCATATGTGATGAATGCTGTTATGCTCATTTCATTGATGAGGAAATGGTGGCTTAGTTTAATGTATTCCAGTTTAGCAAACATTAATTGACAAAACTGTCTTGGGCAGTTTTTCATTCTGTTTGACTGCAACCTATAGGAAGATAAACATATTTCATGACCTGGAACACATAGGTACATGCATACACAAAGCAGAACTTGTCACAAAACAGTATTTGTCTTTATTGGGGATAAACTCAAATATTTTTCACTTCATTAAAGAAAATGCTGATCACTACCCCCTAGGTTGATTTCGTATTGGGTCATAACCTACAGGTTGAAAAACACTGATCTAGGGAAGTAAGAACAGTAGGATTTTGTCACTGATTTGATACAAGGGAGTGGGGAACAAAGATTCTGCCATGGTGAATCGTATTGCTCCCAGCCAAAGTCAGTAATAGAAAGAGAAGCTATTAGGAAAACAGAGATGATTCATTCATTTTTGGACATGCTGAGTTTGAGAGCATTGTAAGATACCCAGGCTTTTCAGAAACTAACAGCTATCAATTTCTTATCCAGTGTTAATACCTAAATGTTTTGTTTAACTGCTACTATTCTAACAGTAGTATTCTCTACCCAAAGGTATGTGTTTCGGGTTTCAGTCAGCTCTTCCAGACCAAGCCAGGAGTTCACCATTGTTTATGACATTGTCAGTGTTCTAATGGGAGGAGGGAGCATGAATTTAAAATAATTGGCTTATATGAAAAATTTGTAAGTTGAGTAGTAACTTGTACATACTACTTTGAGATGCTTATTTAGGTGGGTGCTTGTATATCAGTTCAGTAAACTTAATATTCTGATATATTGAAATATTTACCCAGGAGAATAATCAGATCACATTAATTAGTTTGTGTATAGTAGTGTGTGTGTGCAGTTTGCTTTAGCTATGTATGTAAATACACTGTTAGAGGGTTATCAGTTTTTTATTCCTTTGCTTATTCTAGGTTAATATAAAACCAGTGGCATTTATCCATACCCTTCTCCCTGAGTGTATCATGATCTTTTAAACATCCACTGTTGGAACTGTAAAAGAATATTTCTTAAATTGACCTTATCAGTGTAAGTAACATAGATACATAACTAAGTTAAAAAGTTACTTCTTTTTACTAGGAAATAATACCTATAAAATTCTTTATATAGATTGAATACCTGCTTAAGAAACTGACAGAAGCTATGGGAGGAGGTTGGCAGCAAGAACAATTTGAACATTATAAAATCAACTTTGATGGCAGTAAAGATGGCCTTTCTGTGTGGGAGCTGATAGAGCTTATTGGAACTGGACAGTTCAGCAAAGGCATGGATCGGCAGACGGTGTCTATGGCGATTAATGAAGTCTTTAATGAGCTTATATTAGATGTATTGAAACAGGTAAGAGTTCTATAACACTGTATTTCGTCTTGCCTTCAGAATTGGACACGTTTGAAATAAAACATTTTCATCACAAATATGAGTATAAGTCCCTTACCCTTTTACACTGATTTAGAGCAGGAATAATATTTCTTATTTTTTCAGGCTTTCATTTTAAAGAATTGTTAGTGTATTTCTGAAGTACGGTGAAGCATTGGGAAGTTGCTATTTTGAAAGAATTGTTTAAATGATCACATTTCCAAACTATTTTTAAAATACTTTCATGTTATGTACATCCATACTTACTGATCTGAAAGATCCCCAAGGCATATTGTTCAGAGGAAAAAACAGGTTGTCGAACAGCAGATGTCTCGTAACCCCTTTCACGGAGTGTGACGTGCGTGTGTACAGAGCTGACAGGAAGGATGCTCACCAAAATCATAAAGTGACTGCCTCTGCATTGTGGAAATTCTATAAATGTTATTTTCTTCTTTATTCCGTTCTTACCATTGGACTTACTACTTCATATGATTCTATACCAGAATCTATGTAAATGATTATATACTATTATTTTACTTATTTTTTAAAAGCCTGTTGAAGTATTATTATTATTATTATTATTGATTTTAGAGAGACAGAAGGTATGGGGAGGAGGAGAGAGGTTTGTTTTCCCCTTACTGGTGCACTCACTGATTGTTTCTTGCATGTCCCTGACCAGGGATCCCTTGAACCCACAACCTTGGCATATCAGAATGATGCTCTAAACAGTGGAAGTACCCAGCCAGGGATATATATTATTTTTATAAAATCAGAAAAAATAACCTTATTTTTGGAGGAAAAACCCTTACGTAACAAAATTGTACTCATTAATAAAATGTTTGTTTATTTTATTAGATTATGATGTTAGATTGTATTTGCAAAGCAGCTGATATATATATGGGAAGCTTAATGCTTGTTAAATGGGATTTATATATTTATTAGTGGATGTTTCAAATTTTTTACATTATTATATTGAATAATAACTACAATTTGGGATTTCCTTACTTTGGTCCTTTCTTTGCTCAGTAGGTGAAGTGTTGTCTTTGCTATTTTTCTTAGTGGAGCCTCTCAATAAATATTAATTGAGGCTTAATTTGTATAGGTTTTTGGTGCTTCAAAGAGGTATGAGACATCTCTATGGAAAGAAGACTTCGAAGCCCACTATGATGGCAGGATATAGGACTACAAATCAGTATGAGATAGAGTTAAAAAAATTTTTTTAAATTATAGTTTACTTTCTGCCCTGGCTGGTGTGGCTCAGTGGATTGAGTGCCGACCTGTGAACCCAAAGGTTGCCAGTTCGATTCCCATTCAGGGCACATGCCTGGGCTGCAGGCCAGGTCCCCAGTTGGGGGCTATGCAAGAGGCAACCAATTGACATATCTCTCACACATCGATGTTTCCCTCTCTTTCTTCCTCCCTTCCCCTCTCTCTAAAAATAAATAGATGGAATCTTTAAAAAAATAAATTATAGTTTACTTTCAATGTTATTTTGTATTAGTTGCAGGTGTCCAGCATAGTGGTTAGATGGTCATATACTTCACAGTGTTCCCCATATTTCCAGTGCCCACCTGACACCACACATAGTTATTGCAGTATTATTGACTATACTTCCTACGCTTTACTTTACATCCCTGAGCCTGGCAATTGTACTTCTTAATCCCTTAACCTCTTTCTCCCAGTCCCCAACCCCCAACCTCTCAGGCAACCGCAAGTCCCCCACCCCTTCTCTGTCTATGAGTCTGTTCAGTTTTGTTTGTACTATGAGATAGTTTTTGCTTAAATATTGAAGGATGAGGAAGCTGATCAATTAATATGACTAGAACTTAGTGTAATAATCAAATGACATTTACAGCTGAGCTAATATCATATTTAATGCTCTGTATATTCTGCAGTGGGCTATCAGCATTTGTGTATTTAAAATATATTTTTATTATTTTATTTTTCAATTACATTTTACATTCAACACTATTTTGTATTAATTTCAGATGAACAGCACAGCAGATAGACATTCATATACTTTACAAAGTATTCCCTCTGATAATTCAAGTGCCCACCTGGCACCACAGTAGTAATTACAACATTGTTAACTATATTCCCTATGCCGTACCTTACATCCCTTTGCCTGTTTTGTAATTGCCAATTAGTTACTTCTAAATCCCTTCACCTGTATTCACTCTGCGCCCTGTACATCTAAAATTTAAATACCAGATATTCTTTGACAACCTTGAAGGGCAGTAATATAATGTGCAATTTTGCTGAAGTAAAAATTTGAGTTATCCATCATTGAGGCTGATATAAGAGAATGAAGTACAGACTCATAAGTATGAGCATAGAAGCTACACTTCGAAGCCATTATTGGTCCAGTTCTTTTTCTGTTCATCTGGAGCAGAGTTCATCTTCCAGAATAGTATGAAGTCAGGTAGTAAGATAATACTTGGCCAAGTTGACACCTTTTAGCATTTTCATTGATTGAGGTTTTTTTAAAAAAAATTAATTTATTTTTAGAGAGAGGAGGAGGGAGGGAGAAGAGAGGGAAAGAGACATCGATGTGTGAGAGATACGTCAGTTGGTTGACTCTTGCATGCCCCCCAACTGGGGACTTGGCTGGAAATGCAGGCCTGTGCCCTGAGTAGGAATTGACTGGGAATTGAACTGATGACCCTTCACTTCACAGGCCAGCACTCAGTCTATTGAACCGCACCACCCAGGGCCATTGATTGAATTTTTAATTGACTGAGAATTCCGGTTAAGGCGTGCGTGCGTGCGTGTGTGCGTGTGTGAAATGAAATTGACTGAATAGTATAATGAACTCCCATATACCCATCATCCAGTCCCAGTAACCAACACATGGTGAATCCTACTCTATCTACTTTTGCCTCTCCTGTATTATCTTGAAACAAATCACAGACATTTCATTTTATCTGTAAATGTTTCAATACAGATAATTCCTAAAAGACAAGGAATTTTTAAAAAGCAGTGTACCCTGACCAGTGTGAATCAGCTGGTTGGGCATCAGACCTCAAAGCGAAAGGATGCCAGTTTGATTCCTGGTGGTAGCGTATGCCTGGATTGTGGGTTCGATACTAGGTTGGGGTGCTTACGGGAGGCAGGTGATCGATGTTCCTCTCTCCCTCCCTCCCTTCCCTTTTCTCTCCAAAAAAATAAATAAGTAAATAAAATCTTTTAAGAGAACCCATAATGCTATTAACATCAGGAATTCTGAAGCCTACTATAGCTTTGCAGGGAGGGGGAAGGTTGTCTCTGAGTGTCTAAAATTCTGCATAGACTTTTGTCTGCATGTGCTTGCATGAATTTGGGTATAGTGTCCCTGACCTTCATAGACCCTCAAGAGAGTCATGATTCACAAAGGGAAGAACTATGATGTCTATGTAATCAGGACCATTTATCAGATAATGGAATAGACGAGAAGGTCAAGGAAGAATGATATCAGCTCTTATAAGTAAAAGGACAGGCATTTATATCAGATTTAATCTTTCATAGGGTTACATGTTGAAAAAAGGCCATAGACGGAAAAACTGGACTGAACGCTGGTTTGTACTAAAACCTAACATAATTTCTTACTATGTGAGTGAGGATCTGAAAGATAAGAAAGGAGACATTCTCTTGGATGAAAACTGCTGTGTAGAGGTAAGTACCTCTTTCTGGTGCTGCCCCCTGCTGCTCAAGTAGTTTATCTTCCTCATAGACCTCAGAGCCTTAAAATAACCTTAAAACTTGTATTTCCAATATAATATAGACATAAAGTTGCAATACTTCTTGAACTAAAAACTAAAGATACCTAATGTAATTTTTTCTAATGTAAGTTTGTTTTCTGTCTTATACTCGTGAACAAAATATAAGGATTAAATCTTATTTGTATGTTTAAGTAATCACGTATTGAATAAAATGGAGTCATAAAAAGAAAAGAAAGCAAAAAAAAAAATTGAGTAGCACAATGTTTGAAATTATGAATATCCCAGAAAACCTGGGCCACTGCAATGAATAAAATTGAAGAAGGTGTGAGCATTGCCTTTGATATTTTGAGTGACTTTCGGAACACTTTTTCATAAACTGTCAATTCTGTAAAGAAGTGAAATCCTCAAGATCATACATTTTTGAGTATTTATATCTGACTATTACTAGGTCCATATTTGTTGGAAAATATTTACAATACCTAAGGTCTTACTCATAAACGATAATACATTTTGATGGATAAAATGGTCCAGACATGTTAATGTCCTAGAGTCTGCAACGCCCACTAAAGGGCCTTCCTTCAATTCAGCTAACCAAAGAGAATCACAAGATTACGATAGGCCATACCCGTCTCCTTCTAAGGACATAGGTCATGAACCACAGCTTCCCAGCAACAATATCCCAGGTGCCAGGAGAGGAAAGCACATCTCAGGTGTGTAATCACCCTGGGTTAGAAGCCTCACAGCTCATAGGAGTTAATACTTGCAGTAACTCCATGGGTATACCTTCCAGGGTCCCTGTGAGAGATGCGCTCAGGTGGGAGTCCTGTGCTTAGGAAAGCGCAGAGCGTGGCACCCGCATCACGTGCTGATTGTTCTCCCAGTCCGGATGTAGTGTGCTAATAATCCTGATTAGTCCTTGTTTGCGTGAGCAACGATGCCTAGGGGATAGAATCAGTAAGTTAGTAATATGTATTTACAGATATTTTTTCATTGACATTGAATTTCAGCCAGATTTTTGTAAATAATTAAGATCGAATTCAATTTAAATATTGAATACTTAAACTCTTAAAGAACGAATTTTGCTTTCTGTTTTAGTCTTTGCCTGACAAAGATGGAAAGAAATGCCTTTTTCTCATAAAATGTTTTGATAAGACCTTTGAGATCAGTGCTTCAGATAAGAAGAAGAAACAGGAGTGGATTCAGGGTAAGTTAATTTTTACTATTAGTCATGATCTAACTAACTTGAAAGCTCTGACTTTCTGTTTTTGAATCTCATTAAAGATATTAAGGCGTTCTTTCCTCATTGTCTAGTTATTTCTGAAGGTAGCATGGTAAAGAAAAACAAATGAAGAGGCATTTCCAAATTTTGAATCAGTTCTATTTTTGTAATGATCTTGTAGGAAAATTGTAAACTGGACATTTTCAGTCTTGTTTACTGTTACTATTTGAAGAGTACGGAATTTCCCTTTTTAACTGAAAAATTTTTAGGTGTCCATCTTAAATGTCAAGTAATATATAAAACAGAAGAGGAATAATGGAATAACTTTCGAAAAATTTTTAAGATCTGTTCTTGCCACAAGAAATCACTTGTTTCAAATAATTATCTTGAGGACACAAACTTGCTTTAATAACTTTTAAACTAAAGTATGATTCCAAAGTAGTAAAGAACGAGACATTATATATTAAGTTTTATTTTTTTAATCATGAGGCGATTCTGATTATGAGGTGATCTTGGACATAGGTATCTTAATGGGACCCCCAATTTTTGTTTCGAGTCCGTCTGCCTGTGTGCGCTTGCCCAAAGAAGGGCATGAGCAGGAGTTTGCAGTATAGGAAGAAAACTGGTTTAATACTGAATTGACTAATATGGAGGTAGGAAGCTAATGCTAAAAACTCGACTCTCCAATGGCATGTATTGTATGTTAAAGATTATATAGGGTGAAATCACAAGACACAGTGGTTTAAGGAGTTGGGGGTCATGCTGGGAGCCGATTGTTCCCAGGTGAGGTAAGGGTAATTATTCATTTCTTCAGGCCTTGCGGGTATTTCTGAGGTCTGCTCAGGCGCCCCCCTGTCTGGTCTCATGGGAAAGTAGCCGGGGGTTCTCCACTTTAGGGCTGACGAGTTGAAATGTAACTTAGGTCAAGATGCTATCTTCAGCCTGCCCGAGGGCCAGACCTTGTGACCAGTAGCCAGGTCCCGGCTGCTGTCTGCTGCCGCCTCGGGGGTGGCTGATTATGTGGGGGAAAGGCTAGGTCTTTGAGTAGTATAGAGAGAGAGGTGATTTCTAGAGCTAGGATTTCAAACTAAGTTTAATCAACGTCATAGGGACTCTCAATTTCAGGTAAAAAACATATATTGAAAATTATGGTCATTTTTGATGTGGTTTAAGAGTCTGAGGCGAGCACAGCTAGGTTTGAATCTTCTTTCCTGAGTCACTTAGGTTGAGTTACGGATTCTGTAGCTGCTTTCTGCTTATGTGGAATGGGAACAATAACCATACCTCCCTCTCAGCTTTGTGGTGAGGGTTAATAATTAAATAATGAGGATACACTTGCATGTTTTACAATGAACATCATTGCTGAAGTGTTTGTAACAGATTGCAAACAACCTAATACCCATTAATTGGGAATGGCTGAATGAATTGTGGTGTAGAGTGCACCTGCACAGTGGAGTACTGTGCAGTACTTTATGTATAGTGCTTTGTGTACTGATATGGAGAGCTCTCCAGGATAAATTAAGTGAAAAAAAAATCAAGGCTCAGAGAGTGTGTTATGTCACTGTTTGTGTCCAAAGAAACTTTTTTTAGGGGGGTGGGGTGGGGATGTAGTATTGTATATACTTAAAGTATCTTGGGAAAGATGCACAAGAAACTGTTAGCATTAGTTGCTACTGGAGAGGGAAACCCAGTACTTAGGAATAGGTGTAGGAGAGAGACTTCCTCTTTGACCATTCATGCTTTTGAATTTGGACAATGGGACTTTATTAACTACTCAAAAAATTAAATTTATATAATTGAAACAATCAGGAAAGAAATCAGATTTTATATAAAAATTAGATAATATAAATAAAGGGTATACATATAACAAATATTCAATAAATAGTAGCTTCTCTTTTCATCTCTGGAAGAGATTGGAGAGAGAGACGGTTTAAAAAGGCTTGGTTGTCAGGCAAACTAAACACAGCAGGTAGTGAATCAGGTATCAGAACATTGAATGTCAACCCTTACTGTGTCTTAATCTCGTTTAGCCCTTTGCGAAGTGTGGAGAAGGGAGTTGAAAGTGTGATTTTAAATTCTTCAAATGTGTGTGGTATTCCAAAATCAACTGTCTAGTTATTGTGCAGTTTTGGAATTTTGGAACTGGAAGTGACTTTAGAGATCGTCTCTCTCTCTCACTTTATAGAGATGAGGTACCTGAGGCTGCAGGAGACTGTGTGACTTGCTCAAGGTCACACCGCCACTCAGGGGCAGAATCAGAAGCTACACTGCAGCTCTGTCTGGTTCTCTTCCCACTGTGCCATTTGCATGACAGGCTTACAAAGGATAAAGGCTATTTCCTGTTTTCCCTCCTCCTCCCTTCGCAGCCATTCATTCTACTATCCACCTGTTGAAGTTGGGCAGCCCCCCACCACACAAAGAAGCCCGCCAGCGTCGGAAAGAGCTCCGGAAGAAGCTGCTGGCGGAGCAGGAGGAGCTGGAGCGACAGATGAAGGAGCTCCAAGCTGCCAACGAAAACAAGCAGCAGGAGCTGGAGGCCGTGAGGAAGGTGGGAACGGATGGGCCGGGCGGGGGAGGGCCCTGCACCGCAGGAGCCACAGCAGCCTCACTTTCGAGCTTTGGTTTCACCAAGACCATGTTATGGCAGCTTCAGGGAGTTTTTTTCGTGTTCTCAGGAAGTGTATCTGCACCACATGAGACACCCTGATTCACCAGCCCTGAAAATACAAGGGTCTCAGGGCAGCAAGGACGTTTCATGGAACAGAATAGCATATTTATAAGAATGAGCACAGTTGAATTTTGTCAGAGAAAATGAGAAATTTTATTCCCCTAAGGATGCCAGTGTCACTTAATGGTGACCTGGGGCAGAGTCTGTTGCTTTCTGAGTTTTTTCCCCTTGACTCTCATCTGCACTCCCGATGACCTTGCAAGACCCTTAATACAGAACTGTGGGTTTCACTTCCTCATGGAGACAGGTGCAGTCTGGGTCAGCTTCTTCCATCTCAGGGCTAGGAGGTCAAGTACGGTAGGCTGTACAGGACAGTTGTTAACGTTCACTGGGAAACCGTGTTCCTTGGTTACGTCATGGTTTTGGCGGTGGAGGTGGGTGTCCAGTGTGTGGCATGGTCTTTCCCTGGGGCACCTCTGGGCTGAGGCTGTCTGCCCAAATCACTGAGCGCATGCTCACCATGAGCCGAAAGACCTTTCGTGTCCTGCTCTGCAGCACCTTTGCCCTGGGATATGGGGATGGGTTTTACTGTTGTTACCAGTGAGATGACAAGACTTTGATTCTTGTTTTCTTGAAGGAGAGATGTCAGTCAAGAGACAAAGTGCAGTAAAGCAAGAATTTATTGGTGCAGCAAACGCACACTCAGTACAGTGAAACAAGGAAGGAATTAGATAGAACCTAAATAGGTTCACAATAGGAAGGTACAGAGATTTCCCAAATGCCTCCTGCCCCAGCATGTGCATTGGCTCCCCGTTCTCACTACTTCCCACCGGGGTGGTACCTGATGGGCTTATACTGACGCTCATAATCACCCCAAAGTTATAGTTTGTATTGGGGTTCACTCTTAATGTTCTGCATTCTGTGGGTTTGGACAAATGTATAATATGACATAAACCTACCATTAGAGTATCATTAGGATGAATAGTAGAACACAGTGAAAATGATAGAAGACAGTGTTCTATCTGTTCATCTTTCCTGCCAAAATAATTTTTATTTTCTCTTTTGTTTCTTTAAAAAATATAATCATTTGAATAGGTAATACAATCACATGGTTCAAAATTTAAAAATATAAAAAGGGATTCGGTAAGAAGATTTTTCTCCCACTTCTTTTTTACCCTCTGCTTACTTCCCACCCTTTGCTTAAGGTAACCATTATTTTTTATTTGTGCATCCTCCTAGATTTATTTAATATATGTAAGAAAATATAGCCTTGACCAGCATGGCTCAGTTGGTTGGGCAGCATTTAGCAAGGCGAAGTGTCACTGGTTTGATTCCCAGTCAGGACACATCCCTGGGTTGTGGCACGGTCCATGGTCGAGACACATGTAAGAGGCAACTGATCAGTGTTCCTCTCACACACTGATGTTTCTTGCCCTCTCTTTTTCCTCCCTCTCTAAAAATAAATAAATAAAATATTAAAAAGAAAATATGAACATACATTCTTATTTTCCCATTCTTTAAACACAAAACATACGTACTCAACCTCATGGCTCTACAACTAGTTTATTTCACTTTGCATATATTTGAATTTGAGATCTTTGTATGTCAATATAAAGAGAGCTTTTTTAAATTTCTGTTTATGGCTATATAATACTATTAATGACTGTATCATTATTTAACCAGTCCTTTATTGGTGAACATTTGAGTAGTTTTGTTTTAATAGACAATGCTACAGAGAATTATTTTGTGCCTGTGTTTATACATGTGTCTGTAAGATACATATCAGAAGTGAGCATGCTGGATCAGAGAATATATATACATCTATAATTATGAAATTATAGGCTGATGGAGCAGCCAGCATCTCAGTAGCATAGTGCTATTCACTGCACCAGAGTTAAACGTGTTCTGTGGTTTGACAATTAAGTACTCTGGCCCAGAAATGTCATATTTTACTTCTATTTACAATATTTTGATCAGAATTAGTCATATGTTTTTGGTGAGAAGTCAGCTGTCTCTTATTGGAGTGTCCTTGTATGTGATGAATCATTTTTTGCTTGTTGCTTTCAAGATTTTCTTTGTGTTCATCTTCCCACAGTTTTACTATGATGTGTGTGGCTGTAGATGTCTTTGTGTTCATCCTAGAGTTAGTGGAACTTCTTCGATGTGTAGTATTTTTACATCAAATTGGGAAAGTTTTCAGCCATTATTTCTTAAAATATTTTTTACTCCTTCTCCTTCTGATACTCTCATGTGAATATTGGTGTATTTAATAGTGTCCCACATTTCTGAGGCTCTGTTCAATTTCCCTTCATTTTTTTCTCTATTCTTCAGACTGCACAATTTCTATCAGTCTATCCCTGATAGATTCTTCTTGCAGTCAAAATATATGTGTAAGAACGTCTAGTGGCTTTTTTCGTTTTAGCTGTACTTTTCAGTTCCAGAATTTCCATTTGGTTCTTTTTATAATTTCTGTCTTTTTATTGATATTCTCCATTTGTTGGGATATCGTCATACCTTCTGTTACTTCCTCAAGCATGGTTTACTTTAGTTCTCTGAAAATGTGACTTTTTTGAAGTCTTTGCCTAATCCACCATCTGAGCCCCTTCAAAGGCAGTTTGTGTTGCCTGCTTTTCTCTGTATATGCGTCACACTTTCCTTTCTTTCTACATCTCATAAACTTTTGTGGAAAACATGACATTTTAGATAATATGTTGTATGCAGTTGGATACGCCTTCCTTTCCTCCCCCAAGCGCTTGCTGTTAAGTGTTCATTTATTTGTTTCGTCACGTAGCTTGACCATTTCAGTGAGGTCTGTTTTCCTCACAGCATGAAGCCACTGACCATCCTCAGAGGAACCTCCTGGGCATGTGTGCAGCGTCCTGGGATGACCGAGATGAGTGTCTCTCCCTGTCAGTCCGCCTCTGTGGGTGTCGCCGTATCCAGTTGTTAGAGTTTACTAATCTCCTGTGGTTGCTTTAATGTTTTCAATATGACCCTGGGGCCTCAGTTGCCCCCACAGTCTGACAGTATTCACATTCAGGCCCACAGGTTGTCTTTGAGACTTTGTTTCCACTCCATGAGGTCTCTGCCACCTCACCCAGAATCTGACCGTCACTTCAAGTTGGCCTGCAGTTTAGTTTGTTGGTCTCATGGAGCTGCGAGCCTCCTCTTATTTCTTACCACCAAAATTGCCATCTTTTCAAGAGTACCTTTAGGCTTGAACTCCTCACACTGCTGTAAAAGAAGTTAGCGCTCTGGGGAGAGCTTCAGAGCCTACCCTTTCTCCCTGGGCAGACCTGTGCTTCAGTGCGCTGGAGCTGGGATGGAGTCAGTGGCCTTGCTCCTCTTGGAGTGAAACCCTGCTTTACGAGCCTGTCACTAGGTGGTCACCTTGGGTCTCAGTGTGCCTCTCTTAGTGTGGAACCTCTGTCCTCCAAGTGAGTTGAGACAAAGGTGATCATGTCTGTCATCCCTGAGGCAGAACCTCTGCCCCATGAGCAGGGACTGGTGGAGGAAGAGAGCTCCAGACCTCTCAGCCACTCTTGCTTAGAATAGGCCTTCTGCACCATGGAGCCAGGTGGGTGAGAAATGCTGGCTGCCAGCGCCTCCTGGGGGAACACTGCCACACCGGACTGTGAGCGGAGGGGAGGCCGTGCCCCTGTTCTTGGTTCCATTGCCGTGGGGGAGGGCTTCCTACTCACTGACGTGGGGACAGAGAAGGGGCCTCCCTGTGGCTCGGCTGCCATAGACTCTCACTGTTACTACTGAGATTTCATTGATTTTCTAGGATCAGTGTTCTCCACTTGCTGTTTGCCCTTGGGATAATTCTCAGAGACTTTAAATGGTTGTTTTTGTGTATAGTTGTTGTTTCACTGCGGATAGGGTCCATGGAGTTCCTCATGTCCCCCTTCTGGAAACTGAGCTCTGGTAAAAGTTTTAAGGAATAATGTGTGAGGCGATGAAACTGTACAGGAAGAACTCAAGAATTAGATCTCAAACCTCACAAATGCACTTTCAAGTCAATCTAACTCAGTGACTCCATTGCAAAATGTTCAGACTCATCAGTAGTCATTCATTTAACTAATTTGTTTTGTATGTTGACTGGGAGAATTGTTGGAATGGAAGTCCGGCAGATCTAAAAGTTTTTATTCTGTATTTATTGAACATTAAGAATGTTTGAATTCTTGCGAATGTTTGTGTGACCTTCTCTCTCCAAATGTACTTCCACTGTAACATTTCCCGCTTTTCTCTGGATGGGTTTTCATTGGGTAGAAACTGGAAGAAGCAGCATCTCGAGCAGCAGAAGAAGAAAAGAAACGCCTTCAGACTCAAGTGGAGCTTCAGGCCAGGTTCAGCACAGAGCTGGAGCGGGAGAAGCTCGTGAGTAGCCCCGCTGGGGAGAGCTGCCGCCTTCGCTTGCGGAGCCAGGCTGGCGGCGGCTGGGGGCTGGAGGCTGGGGTGAGCCCTCCTTCTCAGCCTGGCTCTGCTCCTGACTTGCAGTGGGCCCTCGGGGAAGTTATGTGTTTGCATATTCATCAGTTTTCAGTTTAGTGAGCACCTCCTCTGTGCTGTGCACCATGCCAAGGATGTGAAGGTAAAAGACAGAAACCTTGCTTTCGAGACCATGGAATAGACGCGTATGGAAGGAGTGATTAAGTGCTGTGGTTAGGGTGGCTGTGTGTCCTGGTTTAACTGGGACAGTCCCTGCCATCTTGGTGTAATTATCGATAGCATCCCTTTTCCTCCTTTTCCTTCTCGAAGAGACCTGGCTGGGAAATAAATAGCCGTGGAAAAAGTATACAGAGGTTCCATGGTATTTCTCCTCTGTCATGAACAAAGTAGGAGGTTCACATCATGAGAACATATTAACTCTGGGCTGCTGCTCTTGGCAGCTCCGATTCTCCTTAGAGGTTCCCATCCCTGAGAGAGCCAAGGTTCACGCAGTCCGCCGGTTATTGGAACGCAGGCCTTCGCACCCTGAGCTCCACCTGTGTGGGGCTGCCTGAGCCCGGGGCCTGGTACACAGATGCTCGTCCCATGGCCGTTAGTAACCTTCTGTCACTCAGAGCTGAAATGGACATGTTTGAGTTGTGAGAAAAGTGCACAGAGGGAGGCAGGCGTGACGTGGAGGACAGCCACCCTCACGGCCAGAGGCCTGGGCTTGTTTCCTCTGCGCCTGCTTCATCCGTTTTCCTCCTCTTTACCTCAGGGGCATTGTCATACCATCTGCTGTGACTGTTCTGGGGGTGAAGTGAGCTAACACAAGTGAAACAACTTTCTGAACTGCAGGCCCACATGCTCATGTGTGAGCTGTTAGATTTAGGATGTTCTTGTCTTTTCATTGTTAAGACAGAGATTGAAACTCTTAAATCCAGAAGGGAGAAACCATAAACTTGTTAGGACACTAGGTTAGCTGCTTGAATCCCCCCCCCCCCGCCCCCCAGGGCTGGAGGTGCCCTGGGGTAGGCGAGAGGTGGGAGTCCAAGGAGCGGGTGTGGGGCAGCCAGATAAACGTGAGGGTCTCTGCAGATCAGTGTTTTCTTTTTCCCTTTGGCAGTTGTTGTTGTTTTTTTTAAGATTTTATTTATTTGTTTTTAGAGAGGGGAAGGGAGGGAGAAAGAGAGGGAGAGAAACATCAATGTGTGGTTGTATCTGGCCCGCCCTTTGCTGGGCACCTGGCCTGCAGCCCAGGTCTGTGCCCTACACCGGAATTGAACCAGTGACCCTGCGGTTCACAGGCTGGTGCTCCATCCACTGAGCCACACCGGCCAGGGCCCTTTGGCAGTTTTGATGCAGGAAAGGTTCATTTATTTTAGAGAAGACTGTGTTGGTCAAGAGCTGGTAGCTTTAAGACGGAAGAGAATTTAAAGAGAAATTATACAAGGAAACATTTTTTTTTTCCTTGATTCGATTCTATAGAGGGGAGTGGAAAGGATGGAGAATGTTCCGGGGTAGGAAAACAGCACTGGGGTTGCTTGTCCCTGGACTTGAGGGCGCAGTCCTGGCGGTGCTGTGGGGAGTGGCGTGCTCAGTTCCTCCAGCTTTCGTTCAGAGACTGAAGGACAGGGTCCAGCACCCTGATGGGCTGCCGCTGGGGCTGTGGCAACCCCTCAGGCTGGTGGTGGAGTGGGAGGGTTTTCCGGAGGGTAGAGTTGACCTGCATTTAAACATGACCCTTTTATACCACCAGATCAGACAGCAGATGGAAGAACAGGTCGCCCAAAAGTCCTCTGAACTGGAGCAGTATTTGCAGCGAGTGCAGGAGCTGGAAGGCATGTACCTGAAGCTGCAGGAGGCTCTTGAGGATGAGAGACAGGCCCGGCAAGATGAAGAGACTGTGCGGAAGCTTCAGGCCAGGTGCCCCATCAGTTTGTTTACTGTGCCCCTGGGAACAGTTTCCAGTAATGAGAGCGCTGGCGCCCGGCTATCTGTCAGAGGGAGAGACCCTGGGGGCTGGTGCCCGGCTATCTGTCAGAGGGAGAGACCCTGGGGGCTGGCCCCTGCGTTGTTTATTCTCGGCCTGGGGCTCAAGGCTGCCTGTATCTATTTCAGAGCAGTCTTCTGGGTCTGTTGGGTGGAGCACCACAGTCACAGACCTAGGGTCAGCTCTGCTGAGACCCTGGCTTCGTCGACATGCTCCGGACCAGAGCGGGGCCCGTGGTGTGGAGGCAGGGGCCTGCTTCAGGCCAGAGCTGCGGCCACTGCGGGGATGAGGAGGAAATAAGCCATTTCTATTTGGTCATTCAGGATTAGTGGCATTCCTTAAATAATAATAATAATAATTATTATTATTATTATTAATTAATAAGTCTTAGTTTTAGAAATTCTTACAACCTAGACTTTTTTCCCTTAGAGCTTTTATTTTAATTAATTAATTAATCCTTCTCTCAGGCTTTTTAGTCCGATTTACTGTTTATGATTGTCATGTTCTCAAATGAGAACTCTGGATTCTTGGTCTCTGCAGCAGCGAGGACAAGGCAGCCTGAAGACGCCGGAGCTGTCCTCTTTCAGTTTCTGACTTGCTTCCCCATTTGCTTTCTTGACAATGTCTTGCCAGCACTAAAAATGCTTACCGCAGCGTAGCAGCTGGTCAGCGCGAGTACACTGCAGGCTCGGAGCTGTGACTCCCTGCCTTGGGGGACAGGAGTGAGATGACCCGGGCCAGGTTTTCCGTGGCTGCCGTTCCCCAGGTGGAGCAGCAAAGGATGCTTGTTTGATGTTTAGGTAGGAAGAGAAGGGAGGAGGTCTTTGTCTACTTTGCCAAAATGATTTCTAAAATCAACAGAAAATTTTAATTCAATTAAGGAACAATGATCTTCTGAATAGACATTTAAGTGCTTAGCATATTGCCTGGCAGTGCTAGGTCCCACAGGTATGTGTCCAGTGTACTGTTTTGTTAACAATTCTTGGGACCGCCTCCGTCCAGGTGCCATTGGCAGTGATGTTAGCACAGATGCACTTGTGAGAAGCTTTGAGGCCCGTGTGACTTCCAAACAGAGGCATCCTAAGGGACATGAGATGGTTTCTGGGCTTTATAATTTGTGGTGTGTGGGGAGTTTTCAGACAGAGTGCCCTTGTGCAGAGAGTTCACAGGTGAGCTATGATACCTGTATTGCTTCTCTGCAGTTTTGAGAGGTCGAGCATAACACAGCAGAGAATTAGATCACAAAGGGAACCAAATAACTTTAGAAATTTATTAAAGTATAGTTATTTTGTATTTACGGAATGAGTGATCTTTTGAATAAGAGACAATTTTCGAGAATAAAATGTGTGGTTTTTCTCATCCACATCTCCTCCCTTCATTGCTTAGTCCAAGCCCCAAGTCCTGTGTATTCCGAGTCATGATTTTCTCTGATCTGCCTGCTTCTTTCCAGCCTCCCAGTGCCAGCCTCCACTGCCCCTCCTCCACGCTGCTGCACCAGCCCCCTCCTCGTCCTCTTCTCACCAGCGTGCTCTCCAACCCCATTTCCTAGCTGCGGTCAAACGACCGCTCCTGAGATACACGCTCTGTCTGTGGGGAGAATAAAGTGGGTATGACTGGAGACCAGGTTAGCATTCTAAGGGATAAAGTCAAGGCAGTCATCCATAACTAGAGAAAAAATTTAGACATCAAAACATACAAGGGAAAAGTAAAAGACACGGAGGACCATTTCATGAGGTTCTCCATGGAGGGGGGGGATTTTTTAAATATATATATATATATATATATATATATATATATATATATATATATAGTAAAACTTGTGGCTTTTAACCAGTAGTAAATATCAGAATCACCTGTAAAGCTTTTAAAAATTACACATGTAGGGCTTGTCCCACATTGACTGAATCAAGGTATCTGTGGATAGGAGCCAGGCATGAGTATTGTTATTTAAGAAACTCGGGCTAATTGTTTTGTACACTCTGATTTCAGTATATAGCAAAATGGTTTCAACCTTTTGAATGCAAATATAGCTGTTACATATATACCAGTTTGCACCAATAAGCTGAAATTATTGCACAAAAGTTAACTTTATCAGGCTGTGTAAAGGCCACTTTATGAATATAATTATTTTACTATTCTAAATTATTTTTCTTTCAACTTATCTAGTTTTTGGAACTTGACATGGACAGACTGACCCCTGTCGTGGTCATTTTAAAGTGCAGCAAGTTCCTCTCCCGGAGCCCCAGAAGGCTGGGCCTGGTTCGGATGGTCATTTTGTCAGATTGGCAAAGGGGCTTTCTCCTCGCTCCTGCTCCCAGAATAGGCCTTTCTGGGTAGAAAAATCAAGGGGAGTCTTCATGGGGTTTGGATAGAAACATCTAGGTCTGGCACTCATTAAATGAGACCAATATTAGGCGAAGGTGTATGTCAAGGGCTTTTTAGGTAATCCTCCTGTCGTTTCTTTCAGCAATAGTGAGTCATTCTTGGAGTATTTAGCATCTCATTGTTCTTCTAGTGGATGACCCTTTGTCAGTGCCTTAAGTTTCCTCAGAGATACTTTATGGGGTAAATTGTTTAAATACAGGAACTTTGATTCAAGCCATCTGGGTCTAGTCTTTGTTTTTAATATTATAAGTGAAATGTGGTTTTTTGATGTGTAATCCTGAAGGTTATCTAGCCTCTTCTGAATGGGCCTCAGAAGAAAACTGTTCGCTTGACATTGGGACAACTCAGTTATTGGGAAGTCGTTGAGGCTAAGCCCTCCCCTGTCCCATTATAACTTCCACCCACTGCATTTTTAGATCTGTAAGGCCGCGCAGCATACTTTAGTCTCAGTGCCTGGTGCAGTGCCTGGCACACGGCTAGCACCCTAGGGATATTTTGTGGATGAGTAAATGGATCCAAGTTCCACTCACTGGGGCCACGTGAAACAACAGTCTCTCTTCCACGAGATGATACTTTGTGAATTTGAAGGCAGTTAGGAACCGAGCTCTGGAGTGAGGCCTGGGTTTGAGTCCCAGCTGCTTTCTAACTGTGTAATTTTATTTTAAAACATTTAAAGAAATTTTTTTTAATTTTTTTATTTTGAGAAAGAGAGAGAGAGAGAGAAACATCGATTTGTTGTTCCACTTATTGATGCATTCATTGGTTGAATCTTGTGTGCCCTGACTGGGATCGAACCTGCAACCTTGTCATATGTGGACAACGCTCTAACCAAGGGAGCTATCTGGTTAGGGCCTAGCTGTGTAATTGTAGAAGAGTTATTTCATTCTGTTGAGCCTTCAGTTTCTTATCTGTAAAATAAGGATAACCGCCAAGCTTGCAGGGTTGTCGTGAAGGTTAAATGAGATAATGCGTGCCAAGTGCTCAGTGTGAGGTCTGGCGTCTGGTTGTAGCTGAGAGTACTTGCAGATGAAGGAGACAGATAATATGGAGAATGTCAAGACAAGAGTTTGTAAAGGTACTGACAGGACGGAATGATGGTTTTATACCAAGAAGATAGTTTAAAATGTCAACAGAACAAGTCCAGGATCCAGGAGACCTGGGTGATAGCAATTCATCTGAAAATATTTGGGGTTTTATTTCCTTGTGATATGATTGCCAGAAACCTCACATACTCTCAGGCAGCTTAAGTCACCTCTACCTTCAGAGCAAATGAGGTAAAGGTGACTCTGTAATGAAAAGAGTTGCCACTTAGCACTTACACGCGAAAGGCCCTGTTCTAAGTACCTTACCCACATTATCACGTTTAATGCATCAGCAGACCTTTGATGGTGGGTGTGGTTTCTATAACTTTTGTGTAAGCTGGGGAAACTGAGGCACAGAGACATTAATTCTTTGGTCAGGAGTTTGTTTGCAAACCACAGAAACCAACCTGGGTTAGCCAAAGTAGTAAAATAATTTTTTGGAAGATTCTTGAGTAGTTGGCCAATTCCTCAGAAAGGCAGGTGGCCAGGCCGGGAACACAGGCAGGAACCCGGGGAGGCGAAGCCGCCTGAACCACAGCCCAAAAGAGGTCACAGGAGGAGTCATCAGGGTGTCACTGGTGCCAACATTGGCACTGTGTGTCGGCCGTCACTCCCGCGATCGCTGATAGTGGATATTGCTGTCACCAGCAAGATAAATTCTCTACTGTCTCTGCCTGTTTGTGTCAGTTGCTTTAGAGTCAAAGATCCAGGAGGGTCGCCTGCCTCTCCGAGCCCTGCTCAGCTTTTGCTGTGTCCTGGCTGCCAAGGGGCAGGAGGGCAGGCGTCTGGCCTGTGGCTTCTGTGTGGGAGATGGGCCCCACTTCCATCGAGACACCTTCTGTGCCAGATTCACTAGATGTATGAAGGGGCTTCAGATACTGGGCAGCCTAAACAGTGTACGCGTCCATTCCGCCCTCCATACTTTCCCACTAGGATGAGGAGACGGGGCGCTTCCAGTCTCATTCACTGTTGTGTCCCCTGTACCTCGGAAAGGCCGCGGGATGTGGTTGATAGAGCCATGCTGAGTGCGTGAATAAACTGCACTGGTCAGGCCACATTTGCAGTGTTGTGGACATCACATGCCAAGAGACATCTAAGGAGGGTACAGATTCGTGGAACTGGGCGTAGTAGATGGGAGAACTCATCTTAGTTGAGGAAGGACTTAAAAACTAAGGACTGAGGCTGCTGTAAATGAACTGGCCTGATTCGTGAAGCGGTGGGTGGCTCGTCACACAAGGTGACCGGAGTCGAACAGCCACCCAGAAGGATGTCACACAGGGAATTTTTACAGTGGTGTGGTTGGGGGTGGGAGGTGGTCAGATAAGGGGTGTGTAGTCTGTTTCTTTACTTCCTTTGCTGCTGGTTTAGAGGAGCAGATGCTCTTGGGTAACAGCAGCTGGCCTGCTGTGTGGCTTGTTACTCATGGTCAAGCGCTTAGAGATGCGTCCTGTCCTGGGCTGGCATCCAACCACGTCGTTTGCTCTTTGGGTACAGATTTGGGCTGTATGTTAGTTTAGTTTATTTAAATATCTATATATCTGGAAATTCGCAGATGGGTTGCCTATTACAGTAACATTTTGGAGTCACACAGACCTGGGTGGAAACCTATTGCTGCTTGTGCAGTTTGACTTTCAATTGCTTCATCTGTAACATAGAAATAATACCTTGTTTTGGGGATTAGTGATGATGATTGTAAAGTACTTGGCATGTAGTAATTGTTCAGTAAATGGTCTATTATTATTCTACCTTTTGTTAGCTCCTTCTTCCCTCACCTTCATTAGTTTCATTATCAGCCTTTCCTTTGTAATAGGTTTTTGCTAGATGAGGTGAAAATTGTATGAATGTTGCAGTAATCAAGCAAATTTCAGAACTTGCCCCTACCACCTGCCAGGCGAATGACCTATATGGTCACTTAACCTTTGTGCCTCAGTTTCTTCATCTCTCAAATGTGGACAATAGTAGTACTTAAGCTTATTATAACGATTAATTTAGAACATACACTTAACTCTTGGCTAAGTTTGTGGTACATTAAGCCCTCCTTAAATAATAATTTTTTTTTTCCAAAAAGGGTAAAACAGAGTTTGGAGCAGGACATGAGTCACATTGCCAGTCCTGTGAATGTGGGCCTCTCTGGCTCCCAGTTTGCTCCCAGTCAAGTGAGAGGTGGATTAGGTGACCTCAGATATACTCTTTCCTGCTCTGAAGTGCCTCCATCATGTTCGGGGTCAGGAGTGCTGACCCAGGCGCATTTGACCCTGAGCTCCGCACGTTGCAGGTTGCTGGAGGAAGAGTCTTCCAAGAGGGCTGAGCTGGAGAAGTGGCACCTGGAGCAGCAGCAGACCATCCAGATGACTGAAGCGGAGAAACAGGAGTTGGAGAACCAGCGCATTATGAAAGAGAGGGCCCTTCAGGAAGCCATGGCACAGCTGGAACAGCTGGAGTTGGAGCGCAAGCAAGCGCTCGAGCAGTATGAGGTAGAACTTGCCCCTGCCAACGTGTGCATTTGAATTCTTAAAACCAAACTTTAAAAAAAAGAAGAAAAAATAGAGAGCACTTGCTTAACTGTAAAAAGCTGTAGTTAGAGTTTTGCTTAGCTGTAAGAAGTCTGTATGGTCAATGAGGCGTATCAGAGTCCAGTCAGGAGACCAGCCACACACAATTCAAACAGGGAAGGTTTGATACGAACAGGTGTTAACTATGACAGGGCTTTACCACGGAGCGGCAAAGACAACTGCAGACACGGAAATGGCAGATGTGAGAAGCAGCCACTGCCTGAAGGACTGAGGCAGAGCACCCAGGGAAGGACACATCTGTGGCCGGGTCCCCGTACGCCCAGTACTGTGATGCAGACCTCCCTGTGGAGGGCACAGCCGTGGCCACTAGATGGCAGAACTCACCGGGGAGCCGCCTCTGGCCCCTGGCCGACACCGCCCACAGGGCGGTGCCCCTGAAACACAGGGCGGTGAGCTCCCTGGGTGTCCACATGCCAGGAGGGTGCTGACTAGAGCACAGGGGACTTGGAAGCGAAGCCCTTCCTCCTTCAGTGTCCCTGCGGTGCTCTCTGCTGGCAGAGCCGAACTGGCGCCAGCCGGGGGGAGAGAATTACCCTCGCGGGACAATGAGAGGCGGATTGGGAGCTAGCTGAGAGGAGGTGCCGTAGCTGGTACACAGGATTTTATATTCAGCTGTAGTTAGTGTGGGTGAGGTTCTGTGTGGCCTTAAGCAGGTTCCTTAATTGCTCTGAGTCCTAGTTTCCACACCTGTAAGATGGGGGCAGTAATAGTTCCTGCTTCTTACGGGGACTGTGAGGGTTTGATGAGAAAATCCATAAGCATATAGTAGGTGTCCACTCATTGCTATTCGGCTTAGACCCCCAGTGTGTTTCGCATAATTCAAAGTCTCCTTTTGTTTCAGGGAGTTAAAAAGAAGCTGGAGATGGCAACTAGTAAGACAAAGAGCTGGAAGGACAAAGTGGCCCAGCACGAAGGACTGATTCGACTGATAGAACCAGGTAACACACTCCTTGAAGTCACTGTGCATTTACTCCGTTTATTTTTCTGTCTTATTGTGTGTAATTGAATTGTGCAGAGAAACTTCTTCAGCCCCAATATGCAGAAACCAGGCTGTTTAGGGTAACTCCCTCTTGCCTTACCTGCCCCTGCCAGACAGGAGGCCCTGCTAACTCCCTCTGTGCACACCTTCTAGTTGTTTGGTCTGCTTTGATGTTCCTCAGAGAGACATCACGCAGGAAAATTACTGTCTTGTCTGTGGGAAAATGATAATGTTAGTTAAAAAATACAGCATTTTCTGTAGTTAAAGCATGTTTGTCTTTCAGGTTCCAAAAACCCTCACCTGATCACTCACTGGGGGCCGGCAGCTTTCACGCAGGCGGAACTTGAGGAGCGAGAGAAGAACTGGAAAGGAAAGAAGGGCACAGAGTGACCGCCGGCAGCCGCTGCAGCTGTGACGCAGGTTCCAGGCGCAGCCGGAAAGCTTGATGCAAAGGACAAAAGGAACTGGCTTTGCTGCTTCTAACTCTTCTTCCTTCAGCCTCCTGCTGGCTCCATGTACTGAGGACACCTTGATTATCTTTCTGCAAATAAGAGCTTACCTGAAAAGGAAAAAAAAGTCAACATTGTCATGCTCTTAATAGGCTCTTTCTGTGAAAACTTCAGCTTCTGGAAATTCCTTTGCAGCTCTCAGATCCTTGTGGCGTCATCCTCGGTGTGCTTGGGGAGGAGCAGGGTCGGTGCTTAGGGTCACTGGTTGATCAGAACCTCTGTGGACCGGGGTCAGTCTTTTCCTTTGGCAGCATCTTTCCTTCTCCGGGTACCTGTTTCTAAACTAGATGGGCCAGTCTGCTTGCCACTGCTTGACAGGTGCCATGGGAAGCCCTTGACCGTGGCCACTCCGAGACAGAAGTCACTAGCTGCACGGGACCCCGCCTTGGCTCAGCATTCGGGGGCCAGCTATGGGGCTGTGCGGAAGAAGGCTTCTGCCCAAGGCAGAGTGTTACTGATCCATGTCCTGGCTTCCGTTGCACTGTCTAGGAGTCCTTTTAAACAGTGCTTTGGCCAAGCTGGGTACAGTATGTCCTTGCTGAACATCGACAGTGACGTATAGCAAAACCAATCTTATCATAGAGGCAGATTCATAAAAAAAAGTTAAGTTTCTGCAGCATCTCATCAACACTAGAACAAAACAGTGTTGAACAAAACGATATTATTCAAGGACCTGCTGTATTAATGAATCAAAGCACATAGATGAACTAAGTAAATCCCATTTGGAATGATAGTTTAATACTAACTGAATTCTTCCTGAGGTTTAAAATGGTTTCAGCTGTCAGAAGTGCTGACAGACCCCTTGGTTTACTTTTGTAGTTACTGTACAGAATATTTCAGGATGTGTGAGCACTCGTCCTAATCAGGCCTTTTACTTAATAAACAGGAATATGATCATTTCTATGAATTATATATGAAAAAAATTTTAAATGTATTTTTGTCATTTTCTGTGTTGAGAGGGAACAAAATATTTATAATTTTCAAACATTCTTACCTAAATATTATGCAGTGTAATATGCTGAACTTTCTTAATTTTTTTGCTAATTTTCTAAGATATATTAAAACTTTTGTATTTTTTTTAAATGAACTCAGTAAGGAAAATAAAAAAACAACCACCAGAACAATATACATTTAAAACTGTCTGGTTTAATAAAATAGGGTAAAGTTGTGTGTACATGTGCGTATTTTTATATAATGAGTTGAGCTTGGTTTAGGGATACTTCCTGCAAACACTGGGTTTAGAGTTCGGACTCCACAGCAACGCCATCACAAAGTCAGCGATGGCCTCGTGCTTAGGGGTTGAGTCACTAATGTGGGAAACCAGGGCCCATGTGTCAGCTCACAAACGGGAACTCACGGAGTTGATTTCTCCCCCACTGTTGTTCTTACCTCCAAACCTTCTTACCTCTGCTTTCCCAAATTCATGTTGTGCCTTTCAGTTTTTCTACAGTAAACAGTGTGGGTTTCTGTTTTGGTTTGACATGGTCGCCAGATTAAAATGCTTGTTGTGAACCAAGGAGGCCACTCCGTCCAGCTTGACTGTGTCCCGGAAAGCAGATCTTTTCCCTCCTCGAGGAAGGGAACACACTGGGTGGTGGTCTTCGAGGCTTGTTTCTCTGTTGGAGTGGTTCTCACCCAGGTGCCATTTTGCCCCAAGGGGGCATTTGGCAATGTCTGGAGACTTTTGGTTGTCCCACTGGGGGTGTTACTGGCGTCTGGTGGGTAGAGGCAAGGGATGCTGCCAAATGTCCCACAATTCACAGGACAGCCCCTGGTTGCAAAGAATCATCCGGTCTAAGATGTCCGTAGTGCCAAGGCTGAGAAACCTGCTCTACAGGAAGGCAGGTTCTGTTGTCCGGAGCACAACAGGCTCTTGCAGGCAGACTTTCCCTTGCAGGGGTGGCCAACCTTTGGACATCTCTGGGCCACACTGGAAGAAGAGTTGTTTTGGATAACACATTAAATACATCATGACTTGTAATCACACAAAAAAATCTCATAATATTTTAAGTAAAATTATGATTTTGGGTTGGGCCACAGTCACAGCCGTCCTAAGCTGCACGTGGTCCCCGGGCCGCCGGTTGGACACCCCTGCCGTGTACCCGAGGAGGAGTTGAGCTCTTTGGTGTGAATGGGGCGCGCCTGGAAGGGAGGGAGGCCGACTGCCCTGTGAGGAGGCAGAGAGCAGTGGCAGGAGCTTCGGCACTGGTATGGGGGGTTGTGCTTCAGAAATTCTGCAAATGCCTTTGCAACATAGATGGAAGGGAATTGCTCTGGATCTGTATAAAGTCTGTGCTGTGGGTTGCTGAGGCCTGAGGTGTGAAAGCCACCCTGACCTTGGTTTCTTTCCATGAGTGGCTAAACACGGGAGGGTCTGTCAGAACCATTCAGCAGCTGGTAAGGGATGCGTTCACGTTTCCCGCCCGGCTGGTGATGTGCCTCAGGGAGTGCCGGTAAGGCACAGCTGCCCTTGTGGAGGAGGGTCAGGTCCATTAAAGATCAGGCCACACGGGGCGGGTCTGAGGGGGAAGGGATGAGGCTACCAGTTCATAGCAGGTCCTCAAAACTTATTGAAAATATCAGTCTTGGGAATAATAGTTTAAGGAATATGTTTCTTTCCTCTCCCCCTCTACTTGTATTATGCACTCACTTCAAGACCTGTAAAAGTCACCCCTCAGCTCTGGGAGGCTATTTGGTAGTATCTACTAAAGCTAAAGATGACAGCTAGCTCTGGGCCAGTGTTCCACTCCCGGGAGAATGAGTCACATGTCCACCAAAGACCCTATGACAAGGTTCACAGCAACTTTGCTTAGGAGGCCCCAAACCAGAAGCAACATGAGGGCCCATAGATCAATGCACTGTGGTATAGTCACAAGGTGCTATACTTTATTTTTTATTTACTTTTTAAAAAGATTTTAGGGAGAAGGGAGGGAGAAGAAGGAGAGAAACAGTGTATAAGATACATTGATCAGTTGTCTCTTGCACCACCCCAGCTGGGGACCTGGACCATAACCCAGGCATGTGCCCTGACTGGGGATCAAACTGGAGACCTTTCAGTTTGCAGGCTGGTGCCCAATCCACTGAGCCGCACCAGCCAGGGCCAGGGCCAGATGCTACACTTTAATTAAAGTAACATCTCACTGAGAGACGCAACAGCATGGATGAATCTCACAGACATTATGTTGAACAAAGAAGCCAAACTGGGAACTTACTGAGTGACTACATTTATATTAACTTCCTGAACTGGCACAGCTAATCTGTGGATTTTGAAGTCAGAATTGTGGTTACCCACGGGTGTGTTGGGGGTGGGGCGGGGGGTTGTTAACTGGAAAACGGCACAAGTGAACCTTCTGGGAAGCCGGAAATGGGTAGTGGTTATACAAGTAAAATGTATCAACTTTACACTCAAGATTTGTGCAACTTGCTGTTTTTAACAGTAGTGCCTCTAGAATGCTATAACTGGCTAGTCCTAAGGGTCAACAGGCCCAAGCCCCTCAGCTGGCAGAGAAGGATCTGGATGGGACCGATCCGATCCACACTGGAACTCCTGGCCTTTTCTAGGATGAAGTTCATCATTACACCTGCCTACCTGCAGATCCTTTAAATATACTTGGGCACCAAGCCTTCTATCTCAGTGTTTCTATCCCCTGTCACCCAGCTACCCACACGTCCGCGCTCTAGTCCCACGCTCAACTTCTATTGACCTTTGTAAGGTGGCCGAGTCTTTGGCCCTGGGTCGTGGGTAAATTGCAGAGAACACTGAGTTCCAGCCAGGGCTGGCTTCAGATTCCTTTTCCACCCCCACCGCATAGACGCAGCACAGCGCTGCTTAGGGTTGTGCGCCCACAGGAATGAAGGCCTTCCTCCCCAGCTTCGTCCACCTCCTCAAGAGCAGGCCACGGGCCCTGCTAAAGGCCTGGCTTGTGAGGAGTGGGGAGAGGGAAGCCTTGTTTAGCAAACCCCTTTCTGTTCAGTCCCCAGCCCAGTAGCAGCCCCTCATTTCTGAATCCCTCATTTTCTGTCAGCCAATACTTTGTGCTTTGACCAGAAGAAGCCTACGCTGGGTACCTGAGAGCAGGCCTCCCTGGGCCCCGCTTTTTGTTTCCTTCCTCTGTTCTCACGGCCTCCACCCCTCCCGAGGGTTCGGCTAGGACCGTCCGGGCCCGCTCCCCTGAGAAGACACACTGTCTGCCCGCAGGCTGGTTTAGAGGGATGCCAGGACTGCTGCCACACCCACACGCATCTGTCCCTACAGTCCCTTCGGAAGCCCAGGCCCAGCCCCCTTCTCCGACGCAGCATCCCTGCCCAGTGCTGCCCACTAGGCTCTGTTCCCATCTGGAGGGCACTTGTATCTGAAATATTTGTTTGTAAGGAACACCCAGGCTATTCAAGAAAAGCGTGTGGGTGGACAGTTTCATCCCTGAGTCCCGAGGCCCCGTGCTCCTCACAGCATGGTTGGGGGGAAGATGGCTAAAGGGGCAGAGTGAATGGCTTCCTTTTAGAGTGGCTGCCCTCACAGCCTAAGAGCATAAGCGGGCTGTGCTTGGCCTTCCGAAGCAGGGAGCTGGAAAGGAGGCCGACGTCAGGCTGGCGCAGGCCTGGGTTCTGCCTTACTGCGCCATCCGGGGTGAGGTTCGGGGTCTGCGTTCTCTGCATGAAGACCGCCCAGCTGATGTGTCCTCTCAGAGTGTCACGCCTGGAGGCACCCGGCGTCCTTGACGGTGTCTCCACGTTGCCGAGATATGCTTCGCCCCCGATGTGTCACCTTGGTGCATTTTCTTTAGGAAGTCATGAGACGAGGGGCTTTCCACCTTGGCTGGGCCAGGGCGCACATGGGGATTTTTCGGATGGACCGACAACTTCTGAGAAAATCCCACAGGCGACTGAACTAGGTCAGTCATGCGAAATGCCTGGAGAGTTTGGGAAACACCAGGGTGCTCTCCTTGTGCTTCCACAGACAGGTGTCACTTCCCAGGTGTCCTGCAAGGGCAGACATTTGATACGCGTGTGAATGGCTGAGCGAACAGATGAAGTCCCAGGGTGGAGGCTCCGCCCAGAAGGACTCCCACATCCCGAGTCATACCAGCCCTTTGGGGGCCCAACCAGGTGGCGAAGTGGGTGGATCTCAAGGGCCTGCGATGGCCACCTCCCAGCAGAGCCCGAAGGACCCTGGCCTCTGCTTCCCCCTCAGGGATCCTGTGGCTTCCCTGGTGGCCATCACAGCTTTTCCGCATGGGGGCCGGGGGGGTCACTCTACCTCCCCGGGCCTCACCCTGCAGCAGCGGCTCCCACTGTGGCCACGTTCAACGTCCTCGCCGACTCCGCTTCAGTGGCAGGAGGGGAGGCTCGGCTGGGCCCTCAGCTCTGATGAACTTCTCCAAGGCAAGCCCAGAGCCCCTGAGGGACAGGACGTTGGCCCCTTGGCTGATTGTATTGCCAGCACGTGGCACCTAGTAGGTGCTTAGTAAATGCCGGCTTTGCAATGGCTCCTTTCTGAAGTAAGTCCCTGTCCTCAAATGAGCCTCGATATAGTCTTTGTGTGTCCTTGGAGACAACAGGCAAATGAATTTCTGGTCGGTTTGCAGCATTTACCCCACCCTATCCGGAGGCTGGGGACAAATTTTTCCCTCCTTTCTTCTTAAAGAAAGCCCCAGCGTCTGTGAGGGATGGCCCATCAGCCTCAAACCCCAAAGTCCTAGTGCCCGACCTGCAGCCTCCCACACACTTCATGCAAAGAGATACCAGAAACTAGGCCCCAAACCGGCAGAGTTCCCTTGACAGGCCAGTTAGACCCCTATGTCATTGTTTAAAAATGAAGCTTGTAGTTTTTTTTCTTAGCACAAAGCAACACACGCCCAACGTGGAAAAATGGGGGAAAAGCAGGTAAGCAAAGAGAATGACCCCACCCTTATAGTCAACCTACCAGGATTGCACGCGCAGGCCCCCACCTCCCCCGTCAACATTTTGGCTCGTTTAAAGGAGAAGCAAGGCCCGGCCTTCATCAGGCACAATCCCACCACCCAGCGCCTCCGTGGCACGTCCTCAGATGGCCCAGACCCGGGGCAGTGGAATGGTCATGCCTTTGGGGGAAAACAACCATGTGTGCGCCAAGGC